ATATTATTAACAAGAAATCGCATGGTATTCTCGTGCACTTTGGAATAAATTTGCACTCACGGGTTTTCAAAAAGCTCAAATAGCACTCGCCCTATCGGRCTCGTGCAATTTTGARCTTTTKGAAAACCCGCTCGTGCAAATTTATTCCAAAGTGCACTCGGAACCATGCGATTTCCTATACAAATAACCTTAGCGAACCTTYGTAAATATTATAAAGTAAATTAAAAGTAGTCACACGATTATATAAAGCTAGCGTTTTTTTCATGTTTAACTAAGATATAATTATTATAATTACTATAATTTTAAATAAATTACATTCTTTCCCTTCAGCTAATCAAAGACAAAGKCGTTGATGTTGAGATGAGGTTCAATCTAAACCGCTATATTCTTTGCATGATGCATAAAGCCATAGAYAGCCTTGGGATTACGCAAGCACGGCAGCTTTTTCCCGTAGAACAAAGAGTCATCAGAAGAAGAGAGGTAAATTAAATCCACGRATTACTTATGATATTATTGACAACGAATACGATAGAAAAAAAACACCTCAAAAAACAACTCCTTCAGCAAATAGATTCATTGACCGAATTTGTTTGACCTCCGTGATTCTCAAATGATTCTCCTTGATTCTACAATCCTGAGCAAGTTTGGAAAGATGAATTGCGCACTTTTTCTCTTCGATGAATAAATGTTGGCTATCAAAACATTTCAGTCATGTTCAACAATGTTTGTTTTGGCCAGTTTGTTTATTTCTATATTCGTTTGTTTTTGTGCGTGTTTTTCTTTTCTCTTTTTTTTTTTCTTTTTTCGTAATTTCTTAATAGCAGTTATCTCATGTCCTTCTCCTATCTCAATCTTACCACTGAATCAATCTCCTAATTTCACTCCCTTGATCACATTCGTACAGGTGACAGATTTTTTGGGGTGGTTCCTGGATCAACGCCTTAACGAATGCCAGAAACGCGTTATTCACGCTATCGCAGACGTTGTCCCCCCTTCTCCTCCACTTGTGGTGTTTGGACCCTTTGGGACAGGAAAGACCTTCACTTTGAACCAAGCGGTGATATACTTGATGAAAGAGAAGGCAAATCGCGTTCTTGTATGCACACATACAAATTCAGCGGCTGACATTCACGTGGAACGACTCGATGAATATATCCAAGGAAATGGAAAGCTTTCGCGTGCAGCAAAACCTCTGCGCATTTACAGCCCTGAAACAGAATGGAGTAGGACTTCTGACRTTGGTCGGAAGTATGCACTAGTGAAAGATGGAGTTTTCGTAATGCCAACTAGAAAGAATGTCGTCGATCATCGTGTTGTCATAACAACGCTTACAACTGCTGACCTGTTGACTAAGCTTAATGTTCACCATGGATTTTTTACACATATCCTGATAGACGAGGCTGCACAGGCTTGGGAAACAGAAGCACTGATACCACTAGCCCTCGCTGGCCCCAACACGAAGATTGTCTTCACTGGAGACCACATGCAGGTGA